TGCTTGCTATCTTTCTACTGTTACTCTTTGGCTCTTTCTTACTGCTTGCTATCTTTCTACTGTTACTCTTTGGCTCTTTCTTACTGCTTTCTGCCTTTCTACTGTTACTCTTTGGCTCCTTCTTGCTGTCTTTCTACTGCTACTCCTTTGCTACTTCGTACTGCTTACTGTCTTTCTACTGTTACTCATTGACTCTTTCTTATACTGCTTGCTATCTTTCTACTGTTACTCTTTGGCTCTTTCTTACTGCTTTCTGCCTTTCTACTGTTACTCTTTGGCTCCTTCTTGCTGTCTTTCTACTGCTACTCCTTTGCTACTTCGTACTGCTTACTGTCTTTCTACTGTTACTCATTGACTCTTTCTTATACTGCTTGCTATCTTTCTACTGTTACTCTTTGGCTCTTTCTTACTGCTTGCTATCTTTCTACTGTTACTCTTTGACTACTTCTTACTACTTGTTTTCTTTCAGCTGCACCCCTGATCTTAGGGTAGGTCAGATCTTACACCTAGTCTTCTCAGATAAGAAGAACAAAAACAACCTCGGAGGTCCCTTGCGCAAGTTGCGCGAGTTCAAGATCCCTCGGTGGTCCTAAAATCGACGAGAAAAGGCTTCGGCCGCCACCCGGGCAAAGTTCAAAATATTTGTACATTTCTTATCAAACTGAAAATGTTAAAAATGTGTACCGTGCGCTCATATATGGTCACTCTATGCAGCTTTTGGGAGCGCCGTAAAACACTTACCAAAGTTCAGAAAGTGGGTAGTTGGCGAGGGCTCTGGTATGGTTTGCTTCTTCTTTCCTATCAAACATGTATCGTCCCTATCTCCCCTTCTTTATTTAATGTTTGTTACTCTCTTGTAACATCTCTAATCTCCTGGCGTTCATATGACCTTATGCAGTTGCGAGCGCCGTAAAACCTCTACTAAAACTAACTCACACTCAAAACTCAAAGCAGAAACGACCGTGGAGAAAGGAGAAAGATGGAAACTACCAAATAAAAAAGACCTTTAGAAAATGATGAGCAACTGCAGACTTGTGCCTCCAGATTGTGAGGTTATCAGAGAGAGATATTTCTCCCTAATTTATCTGGCCTAGAGCGAAGAGAGAGAGAGAGAGAGAGAGAGAGAGAGAGAGAGAGAGAGAGAGAGAGAGAGAGAGAGAGAGTTATTACTCCTACTATATCTGGGCTAAAGCGAAGAGAGAGAGATAGAGAGAAAGAGAGAGAGAGAGAGAGAGGGAAAGAGAGAGAGAGAGGAAGAGAGAGAGAGAGAGAGAGAGACGTAAAGGGGAGGGGGGAATTTGCTGTCTCAGCATAACTCTCCCGGATGTTTGTCGTTTATTTTGTTGTTTTTTGTTGTTGTTGTTTGGTTCACACCCGTGACGGAGTGGGAAAAAACCAAACTCATTTAGACGGGAGAAAAACAAGATGGAAGGAAGAAAGACTAAGACCAAAAGTGGGTGGTTGGCGGGTGCTCTGGTGTGGTTTGCTTCTTCTTTCCTATTGAACATCTATCGTCTTTTTCTCCCCTCCTTCTTTTTTGTGTATTCTACTCTGTCACACATCTATTTTTTCGGCACTTTTATTACCTTATTGTGTTGCATGCGCCGTAAAACTCTTACTAAAATAACATTTAGATGTCGTCCATACATGTAATTGTGTTGCAAGTACCGTAAAAGTCTTACTAAGTGGGTGGTTGGCGGGTGCTCTGATATGGTTTGCTTCTTCTTTCCTATCAAAGATTTATCGTCCTTATCTCCCCCTCCTTCTTTTTTATGTTTGTTACTCTTTTGTAACACCTTTAATCTTCTTGCGCTCATATGACCTTATGCAGTTTCGAGCGCCGTAAAACATCTACTAAAACAAACATTATCTCTCCTCCTTCTTTTGTGTGTATGTTACTCTCATGTAACGCCTCTGCTCTTCGGCACTTTTATGACCTTATTGTGTTATAAGTACTGTAAAATCCGTGCTTAAAAACCTTTTCTTTGTGTATTACTCTCAAGGAACACCACTGTTTCAGCACTTTTATATGTACGACACCCAAGTGTGGTCATATATAAGACTTATATAATATATGACTATTCTTGGAAGCCGTACATATAATTGTGTTGCAAGTACCGTAAAACTCTTACCGTACTAAAATAAATCTTGGATGCTGTCCGTACATGTAATTGTGCTTCAGGTACGGTGTAAAACTCTTACTAAAACTAACAAAACTTTCCTGTCTTTCCCGTGGGTGGTTGGCGGATGCTGTGGTGTTGTTTGCTTCTTCTTTCCTATGATCTTATCAAACATCTATCGTATTTATCTCCCCTCCTTTTTTATGTTTGTTACTCTCTTGTAACACCTCTTATCTTCTGGCGCTCATATGGCCTTAATGTGTTGCAAGTACAGTAAAACTCGTACCAAAAAAACATAAAAACCTTTTTTTTCTCTGTATGTTACTCTCTAAGAACCCATCTGTAATCTTCAGCACTCATATATATGACCACATTTGGATGCCGTCTGTACATGTAATTGTGTTGCAAGTACCGTAAAACTTTTACCGTACTAACATAAAAGTTGGATGACGTCCGTACATGTAATTGTGTTTCAAGTTCCGTAAAACTCTATCTTACTAAAACTAACTCCACTTTCCTGTCTTCCCCAGCGGGCGACTGGCTGCAGGGCCCTCACGTGTACGCCCTGTACGAGAGCTATGGCATGACCACTGAGCAGATCGACATCCTGTTTGTAGCGGGGTTCGGATCCAGCATGCTCGTGGGGACCATCGTGGGATCGGTGGCTGATAGATAGTAAGTTCTTCTTCTTCTTCCTCGTTCTCGATGACAGCAGCTAGACAGTCAGTCCGATGTGGCGCACAAACTATGCAGTCCGCTTCAAATCTGAGAGACTGCCTTAGAGCTTTCTCTCAAGGGGAGTCACATTCTGCCACGTCTGTCTACGAAGGGTGGCGTAGTGCGGGCAGTGCTGAAGGATATGGTTGGCATCCTCTTGGTTGTGTCCACATTCACAGATATCGCGGACTCTCCCACTTTTAATTTAGTGTGCCTATGGTGTTTGAGTCTGTTGTGGCCACAACGGAGTCTAAAGATTGTCACCTGGTCTGCTCTATTTAGCATGTAGTAGGAGTAACGTCTGTTGTGTTTAGGGCGGGATCTTTTCCATAGATAGTAAGTGACATTGAGATAATGTGACCTCAGTGCTTTCTTGTCGTAGCTCCTTTTGGGGGGGGGGGGGGGGGGGGGG